GGATGAGGTGGAACACTGGCAACAAAGCACATGGAAGCTGACAAAATTATATGACAAGAATGATCCTGTATTATGAATATAGCTGTGTAAAGAATAAAGCACCATTGCCCCACACTTTAATGTGAGTATTCAAAAAACCCTCCTCCAGAGAGCTTTCAGAGCAGCAGCAAAACCAGACTTTTGTTCCAGTGGCTCCAACAAAGTTTCTCTTTCTTCCTTTCTTAAATAAAATGCTGCTGAACTAGAGGAAGACTAGTCTGGGGAAACTGAAGTCAGCCTGGGTGATTACACACCTTAGGCTTGCTCTGGCATTTTCACATCTCAGTGCACAACTGCTTTATTGTCTTGCTCTCTCTACAGATTGTACTGGAAACATTGATCCACCACAGCATTAGTAACAACAGGGGAAATCAGGTACAAGCTTATCTACCCACCCTCCCCCAAAATCTTTCAAAAATAAATAATGCATCATAACCAGATCAACAAGATTGACATTTTTTTATTTGTACTTAGCACATACAGGAAAGATCAAAACAAATAATAAAAGATAGCATTTGTAAACAAATGTACTTCACAAAAAGTTATAAACTATCAAATTTGCTCTGAAAAAATTCGTTATAGCCATTTATAAATGTGTATTTATCAAAAATCAAGTTAAAAACTACTTCATTTTGAAAACATCCCAAATGAAGATTCATTCATGCCAACAACTTCAGAGACCACAGATATAAGGCCTAACTAAAACAAATGCACAAGTGAAGATGGCACTGTGATTTTTGGTTTAAAGATTACAAAAAATCTGCAAGTGATCAAAATACCAGCCAGTCCAATTCAAAGTCCTAGGTCTGCAAAATATACATTCAACTTCACAAATGTCTAACTTGAAAAAAATAGAGCTATTCCACTGGAATGTCCTCATTTTTTAATGTACTGATTATATGTTGTGTTTTCGAACCCACTCAGAGAAAAGTTATCAGCAGGTAGTTTCATGTAATTATAAAATCCACTTCCATAATCACATTAAAAATAAGATGACAGCAGCACCCTTATAGCAAGGACTAATTTTAAACATTCTTGCCTTTATAGCAGCAGGTATGGTTTTGGGGAATGCTATCGATATAATAAGTAAAAAAAAAAAAAAAAAAAAAAAAAAAAAAAAAAAAAAAAAAGATACTCTGTGAAACTTATTACAGTGTTCTTTCCCTATACTTGTTTTCAAAGTTAGGTAAGCACCTCTATTTTCTTTTGCAGAACACAAAAACTAGAAAAAATGACATCCAAACCTATGACTGCCTCAGTAGGCTCCCTTTGTTGGTGGCCCACAAGCCAATTTGATTGCCAGTATGAATTCTTTTCCTCCCTCCAATCTCCTATTTGCATGCCACTAAAAAACAAGGTTCTCAATCTATTAATTTGACTCAAAAGACACAAGGTAATAAAAATAACTAAGGCACAAATGTCTGATCTTCAACAGCAGGCAGAGGGTCACAGATTTGAAACTAGCGTAGAATGAAAACCCCCAGAAATATTTCTGGTCTCAGGGTACTGGAAATTCTTACCAGAATTCAAAGAAGGTTTTTCAAGATTTTTTTTTTAAACAAAGATATGGAAAACACTTTTCCCAAGAATGTCCACAAACACTAAAACAAGGATGGATGTACATACAAAGACACACACTTTATGCACAATACACTTTGAACATACTGCAGACAGACAAGGACCATGGAATGCAATGATGTCTAAGATGGCAGGTGAAATGAAGATGGCTCTTTTTCAGAGAGTCGTCATGAGTTTATCTTGGTACACCATGCTTTGGACTCCTCCTAAATTCTTCTGGTTCTGTTCCTGGATATACCGTAAATTGCTGTCCTCTCCACTTGTGGGGGGTTTCCAATAGGGCCTGTCATCATGATAGGGTGGCCTGTACCATTTGCACAGTTATTGGTTAGTGAGGAATGGAAGTCAACTTAGGAGTGCTACACAGTAACATGAGCTCATCCTGCAAGTGCTAAACATGCACATGGAGCTACAGCACGGGAAGGAAATGGGGACAGACCTATAGGCCTGATGCTGAAGCTGCTGAAGCAACTGGGAATCTTCTAGCTGATTTCAAAAGGCTTTCAACCAGGGCTCAGTCATTAAAAACCCTCTCTGCTTCCAATGTTATAGACAAGCATAGTGCATCAATGCTCTGGCATTCCAAAGGGGCAGGGGGGGTGGGGAGGGGTG